TTTGATGTTTAACATTTTTTAGAACGAATAGTTCATGTATTTAATTTTTTTTATTCATGAACTAAATTACGAAGTAGTTTGATTGCGATCCCCCCACTCATAGACGTATTGAGAGCTATTCATGTATTGTTAACTTTCAATCTTACGATTGATTTTAATCATAAACAATCCAAGCGAATTGAGACATATGACCAGTGTACAATTACATATCTTCTAAACTAAATTGCACATTTTTTCATGGGATCATGCTAGGAGTACATGAAAATGGTCTACATCATTTGTACACCAGACAAACGCAAACACTATTTGTACACCTAGTACCGATCGACCCAATCCCTTTGATTTTAATTCTCAAATTTAGTTGATTTTGAATCAATTTTTTTGAACACGGAGATAACTAAATTTGTGAGATGAAATCGAAGCGTTGGATGTAGGTTAAAGTCAAGGCAAGGTAGGGTTTACCAAAGATAAAAATAATCAGTTATCAATTTTATAAATCAAACAACGTAGGTGGTTTAAAAATATAGTGACACTGTAGTGCCAATTGGAGTCAGTGTCAACGAAAGTGACCCCAATAAACACACAAATCTACAACAAAAGGTGGTATACAAAAAACATCTCATAACTACCAATTTGGAGTCGGAATAAAAGTCTATGGTATTGCAACCTCCCATTTGTTATCATACCTACATATAGATCCAAAGACTCGTTACTATGAACGGAAAATGCATTTATTTCCATAGAGGAATCCAAACAAGAAAAATGATTCAAAAGTCTAAAAAACCATGTGAGGAGTCCACTCCAAGCAACCAATAAATGCAAATTATGCAACCAAACAATTTCTTCTTCCTCTGGTCCATGGCTTATCGAAGGGGTATTTATTTCCTACTCCATCGGTTCCACCAACCACCCCTAGCTATTTCTCTTGGTCTAAATGACAATTTTTAGAGGATATTTGGTTGGACAACAAGTACAAAACAAACAAACAAAAAGTCAAGCTTTATTTGGTTATTACTTCCTATGTCCAAAAATTATCTTATCATTACGCGTTACGATATTTGACTGAAATTAGTTTTAAATAATTTTTAAAAAATTATATACTTAAAAACTACTTGAAGATAATTTGGGTCGACTTGTACACTAGATGCATATATATCGGAAACTAAAACAAGTCAAATTGATTACTGTAGGTTCATTGACAATGTATGTTTTCGAAAAATGTTTGTCAATTCAACTTGGGTAAAAATATAATGTCCCTCCATTGATATTTGGAAAGTGCTAAAAAAAAGTGGTGGGTACTTTAAAAACTACTACCTCCGTCTCGGAATATTTTTTACAATTTTAATTTTTTTGTTTATTGATTTTCAATATTTGATCTATAATTAAATAAATATAGATTATCTATTAATAAGATAAAATAATATTTTAAAAATATTTGGAATAATAAAATTATTTATTTATCAATATTTAATATCATTTTTTTAAATTTGAAATCTAAATTAACCAATTTTGATTGAAAGAAATTAAATGTGGAAAAATAGTGGAGAAGATATATACTTATATAGTGATATACGTCGTACAATGTTGGTTTTTTATTCAAACGCAAATCATTTAATTGCACGGGAGAGAGAGAAGGAAAGTTGGAGCACGTATCAAAAATGTTGGAATTTCAAAAATCAGAACAAATTAGATCAGGACCAATTAGATCATATCAAAATTTCAAAAATTCAAGCAACAAAATTACAATACAAAGACGTATTAACGAAGTACTCCGTAGTTACTCCATCCGTTCCAAAATATTTGCCACATTTACTTTTTTTTAGCAGTCGTGCGAACTTTGTTTATTTTTACATTTTCATTGGTTATTTGATAAAATAAAATATTCTTGACACCTCTTATTTCGAAGAATTTTTCATGTAGTTTTTTGATATGTAATTTTAATTTTTTACTCCCTCCGTCCTAATTCTTTCTTCCGAGTTTGACTTTTCTCCAATTTAAATTTTTGGCTTTGACTTCAAATTTTATCATCCTTAAAAAAGATTTTTTGAATTTTTTTTACAATCATTCAAAATAGGGGTGAGCAAGTACCCCCGAAATTTCCCGAAAAAACCGAGAATACCAAACTGAAAAATACCGAACCAAAAAAGTACCGAGAAGAAACCGAACCGTACCGAACCGAATGGTTGGTACGGTATTCGGGAATGGTACGAGTTAACGTCCCATACTGAAAATCCCGTACCAAACATATATACTAAAATATTATAAAAATACTACATCGGAGTAATATTTTTATATATTCCTTCACTAAATTATAAATTTTTTTTAAAAAAAATTGGTTCAAATGTTATTATGTGTAAATTGTACTTTTATTTGAGTTTTAATTATTGTCTGCTCTAAAAACATAGAGGAGAGGGAATCCAAAATTTTAGTTTCAATTCCATCCCTTTCCCCCAAATGAATCCCTTCAAATTAGACGAAATCTCCCTCCCACCTGCCACTTTCTTCTTCGTCTTTCAAATTTTTCACCTTGTAAATAAAAAGTAATATAAAATAAAATAAAAAATAAAATTAAAATAAATAGTAGTAAAAGTAAAAACTAATTCCAAAAAACAAAATAAATAATGAGAAAATAGAATAAATCATTTATAATAACAAAAAAATGTATACTAATTAGATAACTAAATAATAAATAAAAATAAAAATATAGAAGTAAATAAGAAATATTTATATTTAGAATGAAAGCTAAAAATAATACTATAATAGAATAAAAACCCATAATAAAAATAAAAACATAAAAAATATTATCGAAGAAAAGGGACATTTCGCTTTCATTCGAAAGCTTTGATTAAACTAGATAGATTGTATCCTTAAAGTATAAAAATCAAGGTTATTTTTGGAATTCTAAACCCCTATTTTTTAAATTTAATAGCGTAACTGGCTTTGACGGAGAGCGAGGCGCAATGTCCCTAATGGGTAAGAAAATGTGTATGTGAAATTTGCAGTGAATAGGACTAAAACATAAGTCATTTTTTCAATGTAGGATTTAAACTTTTTTATTCCATAAATATGACTTAATAATGTCTAGTGAGAAGAATAATGTCCGAGTGATGCTCTACATTTAGTTGAATAATGACTAATAGATAATGACCAATAGTCCTACATTGGGAAATAAGAGCATATGGTCCTGTATAAGAAAAGTAATTATGTTTTAGTCCTATTCAGGTAAATTATCCAATATATATTTGGAGGTAGCTCGGAGTATATATTTTAAAAATGTGAGGTATTCGATAGTTAATTTTTCAAAATAGATGGTATCTCGAAGTATATTTGAAAAATATGAGGCACCTAGCAATTATTTTTTCAAAATAAAAATACACAGGAAGTATATTTTAAAAATACAAGCATCTCGACCACTCTTACTAGTATGGACATGCGTATGGATCAGACCCAAATACCAGACTTGAACCTGACCTAACCCACTAATTAGCTATCCCTCACGCTTAGACCTTGGCAAAACAGAACCGGAACCGACTACCGAACCGAAATATCCAAAACCAAAACCGAAATGATTCGAAAAATGAAGATCTGATCTATGACCGAAAACTCGAAATGATCCGAATTGAACCAAAACCGAACTAAATAATTCACATCTGATTTAAATCCGAAACCGATTAGATCTGATGCCAAAAATATCCGAACTGATTAAACCCCGGAACTGAGTATATCCAAAACCAATAATACCCGAAATCGATTAGATTCAAAATCGATAATATCCAAACCCGATAAGAACTAAAACCAATAAATTCAAAACTATGTTTGCCTTTCAATAAGCATATTATATTTTTAAATTTTAACTTTTATTTAACCATTTTAACTAATTACATTACTTGATCATGCCATCGTAAAATGGATTATCATCTTGAAAAAATACAAAAATTCATGCTTTAAATCTATTATATTTAGAAATTGAAGATAAGTTATACATATAATATAAATGATAAAGCACAAACAAATAACTAAATGTTATTCTTAATTCTTAAATGGTGAAGTATGATATTCTTTTTGAAAGAAAGGATTATATGATGAATTGTACAGCATAACTAAATATTATTCTAATTTCATCCAATTACAATAAATTTTATTGGTTTGAGAGTTAATTTCATTGGTTTCAAACCAATTCACTCAATATTAGTCAATAGCATTATATGTAAGTGTTAGCATTTTTAAAACACTCTCTAGCGGCAGTATTTAGGGTTATCGTTTTAAAATTTGATCTACACCATTACATTTAGGTGTAAAATTAATTATACCAACGAATTTATTGGTTTTAGTTCTAATTATTAAATTTAATTTTATCTAATTTCAATGAAATATACTCAAATAATATACGGAGTATAAATTTTGCACACAATTGAATAAAATTCACTTAATTTCACAAAATTTCACTCAATCTTTACCAAATTGTATTCAAATGGAACATAACACTATTTGAATTTATCTTTTCATTCATAAACATAAATACATTAGTAGATGTGAGAAAAATTTGATATATCAAACCTAAATTTTAAAATCAATTTAATTATATTAAATTTATATCATAATTAAAATATATATTTTTTATACTCCGTAATATGTAGTATAAATTTGTAAAATATGACTAAAAAGTCAAAAAGGGAAGATTATTTAGGTTAGAAATAATATAATTAAAAAAATATAAAATAATATGAGGTATTGAATTGATGATAGATTGATAAATGTGATAAAATATAAAAAGAAACATCAATAATTAAATTTTAATTAGAAAATAATATGTGTCCAAAATATATTTGATCTGAAACCAAAATACATCCGAATCGAACTAGATCTGAAATCAAAATATATCCAATTCAAATTGTATCCGAACAAAAATCTATCCAAATCGATTTATAATCGAATCGTATCTGAACCGACTCGAAGCCAAACCAAAAAATGTATAGAACTGAATCAGATTTGAACAGAAATTATCCCGGAAGATATCCTAACAGAAAAAATGGAACTCAAAACCGATCCCGTTGAGGCTAGACCTCTATTTCAAGAAGAGACGATTACGCTTGATTGACTCGGGCGGGTTGTAACAAATTGATTCTTGCGAGTTGCGAGCCTTCAGGTAAGGTCCAGCCGATCGTCTTTCGGTCTCCGCCGTCCCGTCCCGTCCCGTCCCGTCCGTCCGTCGTGCCGTGCAGTCCCCCGCGCCGCCGGTCGTCCCTTCCGTCGCCGCCGATGTGGATATGTCTCCGGTATAATTTCTTTTCCACTATTTTTCATTTATTTAGTGAAATTGATGACTCCAGCTTGGCCTTTTACGTCCGCACTTGGGTTTGGTGTTAATCCTCAGTGTGTTGATGATCTCAAGCTGTGGATGATGAAAGAGTACGGAGTTGTGGAATCTTGGTGTAGGCTACATCGTATAGAACTGGTTGAAGGGATGGGAAGAATCGTTGGCTTTAGGGAAAACAGTGAGCTTGTTTCGTACCAGATACAGAATTCGTTAATAAACTTGGAGTTTGCTCATTTGTTCAAAGGGTAAGTTTGTTCTTAAATTTACAACATATACACATTTTTCATATGTAATCTGCTGAAATTTTTCTCTGCCTCGTGTAGATGTTATTAGTGGATATTTAGTTTACTCGTAGAAAAAGGTCTGCTTTTTCTAGGTTCTTTTGTGCCTGTGTTTTGGGAATGCATAACAAATATAAAATACTCATTATACATAAATGGGAAGACTGTAATAATCAGAGATCTCACCAAAAAGGAAAAAGCAAAAGAATAGAGAAAGGGGATGAGGAAGGGAAGAATTTTAGATGAGAAAATTGTAGTAATCATTCTTGTCCTTCATATCTCCCAAAATATACATATGATGCTCCACTCACTCATTCCTATTTATTTTTTTAAAGCAATATTTATTCATGCTCATGAGAAAGACCAAGAGTACTTGAAATAGGGGTAGAAATTAAGGTGGGAAAGGGGGGGAGGGTGGCTGCCCCCCTTTGCTATTTCTCGTTGTCCTTGAATGATTTTCTGGATTGCTCAAAGATAGCACCAGCAAAGGTGCTTTCGTATTCTTAGTTGGTATTCGTATTCATCAGTTTTCAACTAGCACTATTTTAATTTTTCTTATGGAGTATTCGGTTATAAAATGTCCTTTATTTGTCAGCCTGTCAATGACGAACCAATGTAGATTTTGTCTTTAAGTTTAAGTATTCCCAGTGTGAAAGAATACGCAGGAAATTCTCTGGAATCTGCAGCTTTTGCTGTCAGAATGTCTGTAGCTACAAGATCTCCATCATACGAATCTGTAATTTCTCGTACCCAAAGTGGCTGAACTGCATACATCATATTAATTTCGGATTCTCTTCTAGAGAGAGCATCTGCCACCTTATTTTCCACCCCCCTTTTATATTGCACTTCATAGTCCATTCCAAGCAGTTTACTCACCCAGTTCTGCTGCAACACTGAGGTGACCTTCTGCTCTAAAATATATTTGACGCTGTGCTGATCAGTTTTGATGACAAAATGGTTACCTTGAAGGTAATGCCCCCACTTAGTCACTGCTGCCATGAATTCCTTTTCATAAATCGACCTTCCCATGTTTTTAGGTCCCAATGACCCACTAAAGAATGCAATAGGTCTCCCCTTTTGAGTGAGAACTGCCCCAAGCCCATTATAAAATGCATCTGTTTCAACAATAAATGGGATAGAGAAGTCCGGTAGTGCCAAGACTGGAGCTGTAGTCATGGCTTGCTTCAGAGCATTGAATGCGTGTGTTGCAGATTCCGTCCACTTAAAGCAATCTTTCTTCAATAAATCTGTCAATGGTTTACTTATTAAACCATACCCTTGAATGAACTTTCTGTAATATCCTGTAAAGCCAAGAAATCCCCTCAATGCCTTCACTGATCCAGGTGTTGGCCAGTTCACCATACTCTCTATTTTTGTTGGATCAGTGGCTACCCCTTGAGCTAAAATAATGTGGCCAAGATATTCTACCTTTTGTTTTCCAAAGCTACATTTACTTGATTTAGCATACAATTGATGTTTCCTTAGTAACTACATCACTAAGGTCAAATGGTTAATGTGATCATTCCAAGTCTTACTATACACTAAGATATCATCGAAGAAGATCAGGATAAACTTCCTTAGATATGGAGGGAAAATATGATTCATAAGACTTTGAAATGTAGCAGGAGCGTTGCACAACCCAAATGGCATTACTAGGAACTCATAATGTCCTTGATGGGTAACAAAGCTGGTTTTGTGAATATCAGAATCCCTAACTCTTATCTGAAAATACCCAGATCTTAGATCAATTTTTGAGAAGATTTTGGCCCCAGGCAATTCATCCAACAATTCATCAATTACTGGTATTGGATATGCATGTTTGAGAGTAAGTGAATTGACATACCTATAATCCACACACATCCTCCATCCTCCATCTTTTTTCTTTACCAACAATACAGGAGATGCAAATGAACTAGTAATGGGCCTTATAACTCCTGAAGCAAGTAGTTCTCTAACAATTTTTTCAATCTCACTTTTTTGGGAATGTGGGTATCTGTAAGGAGCCTGCCTTTTTGGTTCTGAATCTAGCTTCAATTCTATTTGTTATTCAATTAACCTCCTGGGTGGTAATTCAGAGGGTTCTGGGAATATATCTGAATATTCATTCACCGTGGATTGAAGGGAGTCCTCTACTATAACCTGAGTATAGAACACACCTAAAGCGAAGAGCTGACCTATCATCCGGGCTCCCTTTCTAAGGAACTTCTGCATTGATTGCACGGTCATAATCTTCAACTCTCCTCTTTCCGCATCAGCTTTGATAATCATTTTTTCTTCCCATGGAAGTCCAATGTTATTTGCAGATTAGAGTAATCAAATAAAATGGGTGTATAACCTCTTAGCCAATCTCCTCCTACTACCATTTCGCATCCTTGTAATGCAATCACTCTAAATGGAAACTAGAATCTGTTTCCTTGAACTTCCCACGTAAAATCCGGGCATATTGATTTACTGATTAGGGTCCCTCCATGAGCTAAACTCACCACCATTGGCCTAGCATCCTGGACAGCACACCCCAACCTTTTGCAAGCCTGCTCATTGGTAAAGCAAGGACTACTTCCACTGTCAATCATGAAGTAGATCTCTTGATTGTAAGCCTTCTCCTTGGCCCTCAATGTATTAAGGCTGTTTTGTCCTGCTAAAGCATTCAATGATATGTTGAAATTTTCTTCCTCAGCTTCTATTTCCTTCCCTAATAGGGTATCATGTTCACAAAGGTTGTTCTCTTCTTCCTCTGTCATCATGAGGAAGATCTGTCGAGACTTGCACCTGTGACCTGGAGTAAACATTTCATCACAATTGTAACATAGATTCTTCTCCCTACGGGCTCTCATTCCTCGGCTGTGAGAAGCTTCCTGGTAGTTGTAGTATTACTAGTAGGTTTCTTGGAGAGGCCAGTCAGGTTAATACCCTTGGCGGTTGGTGAAGTGTTTATGTTCCCCTTCATTGGCAAAGCTGTAAGTCCTCCTCCCTTAAAGCCGACCTTAGCCCTCTTTGTGATAGCTTCAATCATAGCCTCATGCTTCTTTGCCACTGCATAAGCCTCTTGAAGTGACGTAGGTTTGGTATTGAGAACAGAACCTCTAATGTCTTCTCTTAGCTTAGTTACAAAGCATTTCAACACATATGATTCTTCCAACTTGAGAAATATTGATGCAGCAGACTTTAGTTCTTCAAATTTCTTAATATATTCTGCAACTGTGGTAATCTGTTTACAATCATGAAACTCTGCCACAATCAATTCTGGATCCATCTCATCAAATCTAACCAAGACCTGTTCAATCAATTTCTCCCATGAAATCGACCCTTCTTCTCCAACAAGTCCATGGTACCAGTTAACAGCTTCACCATCCATATGCACAGCCGCTAATGGAGCCTTGTGTTCCTCTGGGATAGTGGACATTATCTGAAAATACCAACTGGTGCGACGAATCCAAGCCCTAGGATTGGTTCCATCAAATCTAGGAAATTCCACCTTAGAGAAGGGTGAGAAGATAGACTTACTGTTGTGAGTAGTTGTATTATGTGATTCCGCGGACATATGGGTGGAGCTGAGTGTGTTGACTGGAATCAATCCGCCAGATCCGAGTATCGATTTGCTGTGGTTGGGTAACTGTAGTTGTTCGGTGATGGCCTTGAACTGTGCTTGAATCAGACTTGATTCCTTTCCATAGCATTTTGTATACTATTCAAGCCATCATTCATACTATTGAAATAGGTTCAGCCTATATTTTCTTAATAAGGTTTTAGAACTTCACTTTACTCTGTTGCTGTTTCATCTTGTGTAGAGTTTTGTAACTTTCATGCACTTCTTTTGTAGCGAAAGTTTTTCTTGTACCAAAGTGAAAGATATTTTGTAATGAATAATGTGGTATCTAACCTTATAGATGCCAACACCGCTCTGAATTTATTTTGGTTTGACAAATTTTGAAAACTATGATGATCCATGCCCAAAATAAATATAACCATATAAAGAAAACAATAAATAATGTTCTTCGTGGGCATACTACAATATTTTATTTTCCACTTTTTTTTATTTTAGTTTAGAAACAGGATGATGCACCATTAGTTAAGGTGAAAGAGTGATTGTATGCGCTGCGTGGATTGCATGGTATGATTTTCTGAGTCCTGACTTTGTTACCCACTTGCCCTTACACCATCTAAAAAGCACAGTCCCATTTATTTACTCATATATTGACACTTATGAGACAATAGGGTGGTCATTTAGTGATATTGGTGACTCCAGGACTTGGTGGCATTCGCCCACGGGTTGTGCTCTTCCCCAACAATTATCGAAGAGCGCCACCATTGCTAACAGAGCAAGCAAGGACACCACAAGTTTTAAAAATTTTATTAATAATCACTACGTTATAAATTTTCACAAATTGTATCTAAGTTGGACTTTTTTTTCAATACAATCGTTTTAAATTATTTCAGTGCAATGGTTTGGAATTCTAACTTCCACTAGGGTCCCTGTGTGAGTTTTATTAATTATGCAGGGTAAATCAGTTTCACTTTCACTAAAAATGAAAGCAAGACATTGTGATAGTTCTAAGACCTACTGTCATAGATCTTTGAGAAGGTTACATTGCTAACAGAGTGCCACCGTTTCTGGAATTACTGTGTTCTTACAAGAGTCAAACATTTGATGTTATTCTAGGAACTTTTGTACTTGGGTTTTGGGAATGCATAACAATTATAAAATACTCATTAAACTTAAAGGGGGGGGGGGACTGAGAGTACTCGAAATAGGAGAAGGGACGGGGGGCGGGGGACTTTGCTATTTCTCGTTGTCCTTGAATGACTTTCTGGGTTGCTCAAAGACAGCACTAGCAAAGGTGTTTTCAAGTATCACTGTAAATGTAACCTTTGCTTCAATTTTGAGTGTTAGTACAAAAAACCTATGGTTGTCATTTTCTTATACAAAGTATATGTTTGTATGGTGCTTTTTCAGAGGTGGATGCGGAGACAGATGCGGAGACGGAGGCGGGGAAAACCTTTGCGAGCATATCAGTCTTAATCTTTCTTTTATTCATTTCAGGTAGTTTTCTTAATAGAATTTTCATACTGTTCTAGCACCGGGTCTTACTCCATAGTTAACGTATGACCGTCATATGCATATATAGGTAAAAGAAAGATGCCGGAGGACTTCGAGGTAACATTCTGATTTGACCCTATATGTGTTGTTGTAGTAATAGCAATAGTAGTAGACTAGTGGTGGTGGTGGTAGTAGTAGTAGTTGATTTGACCATACATGTGTTTTTAACCTGTAGTTTCAATGCCCTAAAAAATAATCCCCTGTAGTTTCAATATGTGGATATAAAAATCACGAATTGATGTTATTAATTTTTACTTTAATTTTACCGCAGGAGGATGCCAGAGACGGTGGTGATGCAGAGGGCCGACCCCCTCTAGGTGCAGGTAATACTCATTTATATACATAATTTTATTTATATATACTAGTCCTTTCATTTCCTTCTGGTTGGGCTTAGATTCCAAGTAGGTCCTTACTGTGGATATATATAAATATATATATATATATATATATATATATATATATATATATATATATATATATATACACACACACACACACACACACACACACACACATATACACATATGCATATATATATATATATATATATATATATATATATATATATATATATATATATATATATATATATGTATGTGTATATGTGTATATGTATATGTATATATATAGACACACACACACACATAATACCATGTAAAATTGTGTGTGCAGATTTGCTCAAGTATCTTAAGGAGTTTGTTGAAAGATACAAACTCCAGATTGCTGTGTTTTTTGCTATTGGTGGCATAGCTTTGCTATGCCACCGGGAGGGAGATGACCGGAAGGCCGCATATAGAGAATTGATGAAGACGATTCGAGATGTTGGCGGTGAAATTCGCGATACAGCCATCGTCGTGAACGACATTATCCATCTTCTTTCAAAGTTTATTTCTTATGACGTTTGATTTTTATGATTTTGCTAGTTCGCACTCATGCAATGAGGTTATCTGTATTAATTAGTACATAGAAGTTTCTCCATCTTTCGGACAAAACACAATTCTTAACAGCATCTTTTGTATGTAATTTGGAGAGTATTAAACACATGACTTCGTCTCGAAATTAGGAGAGAAATAATATCCAACCAAACATCTCCCATCAACCAAATACTGTGTCTCATATTATCTTATAATTTAGAGTGTTATCATATATGGACGTGAGATGAGGAAATTTTGCAAATGATTTGTTCTTTTTACTACTAAACGCGAAAAGTCTCCTTATTAGAATAACAAGTCTTTCTTTTGCCTCCTCGTCCTTATAGTTCCTTCTTTGATAACTTAGATGATAAAACTAGCTAGAAAAAAAAAGCAGTTTCTTTGTGAATGAAGTCGCAGCTCTCAGTGGGTGTATTCACATCACCTTACGTAATCGTGTCCTAAAAATATGGATTAAGGTAGAAATAGTTTTTTAAAATCAATGGAAATCAACTTCGGCATCTCTATAAGCAATCTAATAATAAAAATTAATGTTGCACTGCCAAAAAGATTAAACATTTATAACACCAATAATCTTCTTTTTAAAAATTAGTGAAATAAAATCAGTATAGATTAATGAAGAACACTTTGATCCTGCAGAGAGCCAATTAACTTCACATTGCAAGCTTCTTTGATCCTGCAGAGAGCCAATTAACTTCACTTTGCAAGCTTCTGTTGCCCCCCCCCCCCATATGATCTCAACATTATGAGCTAACCATTAATTCTTTCTGCTTCAAAACTCTTTCTCTACAAATTCTAATTTTACCATACTATTAGGAGATGAGATGAGCAAACGCAAGGCGCTGAGGGAGAGAGAAGAGATGAAGACGGAGAAGAAGAAGAAGAAGAAGAAGAAGAAGAAGAAGAAGAAGAAGAAGAAAAAGTGTGTCTCTAGAGGAGTAACTTATAGAGTAGTAACATATTTCTTCTTTGAGAAAATTAGGAAGATAAAAAATGGTTTCTTTGTGATTGAAGTAGCTTTCGGTAGGAATGTATTCACATCACCTTGCAGAGTCGATCTTTCGTGTCCAAAAAATAAAGAATGTAGAGTGAATTTCTATCAAAGAAAGAAAAAGCATATGTCTTTCTCCTGGGAAAATATATCAAAGACTAATTTTTTTACAATTAAATAACTTATTAATTTCTTAAAAAGAAATGGAAATCAACTTCAGCATCTCTATAAGCTATCAAAATTAATGTTGCATTGCCAAAAAGATTAAATTTTTACAACACCAACAATCTTCTTTTTAAGATTTAGTGAAATAAAATCAGTACACATTAATGAAGAACACGTTGGCCCAACAGAGAAGGACTAATTAACTTCACCTTGCAAGCTTGTGTTGCTGCCGTATGATATCAACATGATGAGCCCACAACGAATTCTTTCTGCTTCAAAATTCATCCTCTACAAATTCTAATTTTACCAAATTATTAGTCGGATAAGAAGAGCAAACGCAATCCGCAGAGGGGGGGAGAGAGAACAGGTGGAGACGAAGAGGAAGAGGAGAAAAATGGCCTCTCTGGAGCAGCTACCTACGGAGTAATATATTTCTTCTTTAAGAAAATTAGGAAGATAAAAACGATTTTTGTGTGAATGAATTAGATTTCACTAGGAATGTATTCACATCACCTCACATAGTCGATCTTTCTTTGTCCTAACAGTATATAGAATGGGAAGAATGAATTTCTATGCAAAAGAGAAAAATGCAGGTATCGTTCTTCTGGGCAAACAACATATCAAAGACTTTTTTTACAATTAAGTAATTAATAAATATCTTAAAAACAATGCATATCAACTTGAGCATTGATATGCACATATTTTATACACTTTTTAGGCATATTTTAAATTAGTTTTGAGTCCCAATTTAGTTTAATATTTACATGTTAATTTATTTTTCCATTTTATTTTTGCAGTTGTGTCATATGCTTGGTTTTATATGTGTTGCATGTATTTTGAGGTCATTTGGACGCATTGAGAATAATTGCAAGGACGGAAAATAAAATGGAAGTTTGGGACCAAAATAAATAGAAGAGATTTGAATAAAAAGAAGAAATAAATAAAAAAACAAAAAAAAACGGAGGCAATCCGCCGACCATTCCATTTTGTAGCTGGAAAATCGGCTCAGGAGAAAGAAGAAAAAAAAGACAAAACACCGACATTGGATGGGGAAACAAAAACGAGATCAAGTGGCGAGACAAACAATCACATATCCATGTGGGCTATTGTACATTTGTTTACTATCTTGGGACCCTTTGTATATACTCCGTATATAAACATTTATCTATAATGCAAATCAAGCATCTCTATAAGAAATCAAAAATAATGTTGCATCGCCTAAAAGATTTAATTTTTACATCGCCAATAATCTAATGTTTTTAAAATCAGTGAAATAAAATCAACATAGATTAATGAAAAGCTCCAGGCGCTCAGCAATTCCAAGGAGAATGAACCCCGGCCCCTTGGTAGCACCACGCATTGTTGCTAATGCAAAATAACTTGAGCATTTGGAGAAGCAATTGTTGTTCCCTTCAACAAAAGATGCACTACTTGACGTTGCTTCTCATTCATTACTTGTTTTCTGCTCTTCTCCCATTTCCCTCCTCCGAGATAATATTCATATTCCTTGCTGATAGTCATATGCTCAAGACGCACGGCAAATCTAAGGAGAAATCTAATCAACTCAATCTCGCTCTTGTGTCCATGAAATCCCCCAATCTCCACTTCTTTCAGATGGATGTGATCATATCTTGGTTTCAAGTGAAACCTTGGTACTCGATAGTCTACTCTACCTTTTGTCTACAAGGACGCACAAATAATAACTCAATTATGTCTGTTGCAAAGAATAAACTAAATACTACTACTCAGTAATAGATTAAGTTAACTTACCACCAAATGGAATTTGCGTAGAAGTGGCGAGCAATCAATTACATCAGCAATTTGTTGAGCACTATATAGCCCTCTAAAGTCTATGAGTACATATACTTCCCTAAGATTGTGGAGCATACGCCATCCTAACGGGGCATAATACATCTGCCAAAGTAAGTGTAATAAGCAACTATTAGCAAATCATCAGTATGTAGCATATTGGGGAGGGGGGGTTGGGGGGCTGGGGGGAAAACAATATGAAAGCAAGAAAAAAGGACATATCAAAAGAAACACAATATGTATATACACATACCTGCCTGACCCGTGATTCAATATATAAGGACTCAAGTTTAGGCGTGCTCTTGGCAACTTCAGGTATAATATGAGAGAGATAACCAGAGTATTTTAACCCATGAAAAAAATGTTTCAGCTTCGGAACATGTAGATGACTCTTTTCTTCCAGAATTTTAGAGCTAATGATTTCCAAGCTAGTCAAATTTCCAGCACGCACTTCTATCTTCTTTACTCCGACACAACTTGCGATTGACAGAGATTTCAACTCATGTCCTGGTCTGCCAATATATAACTTAGATGGAAGGCTACAATATTTCAACACTAAAGACTCAAGCTTTGGGCAGGCTGCGAAGATGCTTTGCAGTTCACCTTTAACTAATGAGACTGCGTCTAGCCTAAGCAGCGAAAGGGACTTAAATGTTCCTTGGGAATTTGGTTCCAGAGTGCACGTAAACAAATGCAAAGGAAATGTAATCAGACCTCTTGTGCTTCCAGGTATATCACAAGAAAGCCGGAGCACAAGTTCCTCAACGTTTAACCTAGCAACATAATTCATCAACCGCTCAATATGACTGCTGAATTCTTCCCCTAAACAACATGATAGCTGGAAGGATTTAATATTGCACCCGTGCCGTAACTGTAGGAAACGATCTATAAATGTCAAGATTCCACGCTTGTCCCGGTCACGGCAGCAAGCGTGTTGTCGTAGCCGTATGAAACGATCTATAAATGTCAAGATTCCACGCTTGTACCGATCAAGCAGGTTTGAAGGACTCGTGGTATCCATAAATGTGCATGGACAGTTGAACGACAATTTGGGGAGAAAAACATGGAGGTTTCTCCATCTTTTAGACAGAATGCTAGTCCTAACAGCATCTTTTGTAGGTAATTGGGAGAGTATCAAACACAGGAGTTCTTCTGGCAATTCACCAATCAAGTCCTCCCCGTACTCGTTAGGGACCTAGTGAAATTACAAGCAATAGCCTTTCAGACAAAGTGCAACAGAGCTTAAGAAAAACATAAGACTCGCAATGGTGAAACATGACAACTAAAATCACATGTGTAACTTGATAATACTCACTCTTCTTGTTCTACGAGATGAGAGAATAATTCCAATTCCGAGTCCAATTCCAGTCACGGCTAGTAATGGCAAAAGGACCTGAGGTTGAGACCATGATCCTGTTACAAGATGAATTGAGAGGTTAAATTATGCAAATGAGATGTACTTTCTAACCAAACATCATATCGCCTAATAACCCCAACAATGTGACTCTTATTATATATGGATGTGAAAGGAGGAGCATTTACAGATGATCTATTGCTTCTACTACAAAACGAGACAAGACTGTCGACCAAAAAAACAAACATGACAGACAAAGGGATATCCTATCCTTTACGTGTTAGAACAATAAGTCTCTCTTTTGCTTCCTCCTCCTTAATCCTTATAGTTCCTTCTGTCATAACTCAGATGAAAAAATTAGGTAGATTACAAAAAATGGTGTCTCTTAGAATGAAAAGCAGGTGTCTTTCTTCTCAACGAGCAATCAAAGACTAAATTTTTACAATTACGCAATTAATAAATTTCTCAAAATCAATGGAAATCAACTTCAGCATCTCTAAAGCAATCAAATAAACTAATGTTGCATCGCCTAAAAGATAGAGTCTTTCAACGCTAACAATCTAATTTTTTTAAAAAAAAATCAGCGAAATCAAATCCACTGCACGCAGATTAATGAAAGAATACTTTTACACGGCAGAGAAGAACCAAATTCACCTTGCAAGCTGCTGCTGCCCACGCCGCTTCCGCCGCCGTATGATATCGACATTATGAGCCCCCACCACTAACAAAACTCTTCCCCCACAGATTCTAATTTTACTTATGAGACGAGGAAACGCGATCGGGAGGGAGAAGTGGGGAGAAGAAAAGAAAGAAAAAAAAATTATGCTAGTAGGACTAGGGTACCCCAAATTTATAATGACGTTGTCTTAACTCTTTTTTTTTCTTCAAAATTTATAAATTTCGGTCTCAAATTCAATTGAAGTGATATCAGAAATTGATATAAAAATAATTCTATGACACTTATTAGATAAAATATTTTTAAAATGTTATTTTTAATAAATAAATGAGGACTTAATTGAATTAGATTAATGTCGATCGCGTGCTCGCTTCTTTCGTCCAATTCAAATATTCAATCATCCGCCCTACTCTCATACTCGGTTGTTCACACCTCTTCTCAATTTGATACCGCCGACTCCTATGCCAGCCACATTCCCCAGCCCAAACGCCATTGCCCGTCGGTAGTTCCACAGCACAGGTTTTATGTTTTTTATATTTTCCTTTTGTGTTTTTATTATTCAATACAAAGTGTTTATTAAAGTGATTTTTTGTTAATTGTTTTACTTTTACCACTTGTTAAATTTGCAACAAATTGTTATGTATTGTAATATTTAATTTTTGATTTATGGATATTGTTAATTTTTTTATTTATGATGCATTTTCTATGTCCCTGTTCAGTTGACTCAAACTATTTTCTACTCAATATAAATAAATATTGGTATAGAACTAAAAATAAAAATTATATATCAAAAAATTACATAACATTATGTAAAACAACTGGTAAAAATGTTTTATTATTTTTTTTCAAATGATCGACCAATAATAATTAAGAGACTTTTTTGGGATGTAGAAAATATTTAAGAGTTCTTGCTTGTGATTGATACATTTGTTGTTAAGACAACAAAAGAATTTTCCGTTGGTATTTCGGAAAAAAAAAAAAAAACTTTTCAAGTCTATAAGAGTTTGTGCCTCCCCCACTTAGTGACTCATGGCTCTGCCAATGCTAATAGCTAAACTTCACATGGTAAACTTCTTTTAGAGTGCATAGAAATAGCAAAGAGATTTTAGCCTTGGTTTGCATGATTAAAATTTCTTAAAATCCATGCATTTTTGAAAATAATCCTCAAAAATCCATGAAAAATAAAGTTTTAAAACTTGCATCATTCTAGGGGGAATTTTTTGGGGGAGTTTTGTTGTAAATGCACCTTATGCCCAATGATTCCCAAACTATCATTTTTAATTCATTTTGATAGGGGGAGGATTTCAAGAAGTTATACATTGTTAAAATTTTCAAAATGTCCTTTTTTATTTTGACAAAAGGGGGAGAAGATGTATACTTCAAAGTGGTGCATTTGCAACTTAACTTGAGTGCATTCTTGTGTAATTATTTACATCAAAATCAAACTTTTATAAACACAAGAAGAGTTCAAAGTAAGTATTTTCAATATACTTATTCTTAGGGGGACCTTGCTTGCATCATTATTTTACTCCCTCCTAACTCACTTTGAAGTATATTATTTGTCAACATCAAAAAGGGGGAGATTGTTAGCCTTGGTTTGCTAAGCCTCATGTTTTGATGTTAACAAACAATATAAGAGCTTGACGTTTGTTTAAGTGTTTCAGGTACAACAAGAATCCATTAAGATTCGGTTCTCAAGAATGAAGTCAAACACTAAACTAGCATATATAGAATTTAGGTACAAACAGATGTAAGGATATGATTTTATATACCTATATTCACAAGCTCAAAAACACTAACAAAATATGTTTAAAACCTTTTTATAATCGTTTTCAAACATCCAAAAAGTTTTAAACAAAATTGGAAATGATTTCGACAAAAATAAAAAAATTGTCAAAATGGTCATAAGGTACCTAGGTACCATGAGGGGTACCGTAAGGGGTACCATAAGTTAATCTGAGATGGGACCGCCCTACCGTATGGACGGGACCCTTTACCGTATAAACGGGACCCTCCTACCGTGTATAGGTACCGTGTATAGGTACCGCCAGAGAGTTTTGGTTTGAGAAGGTACCTAGCTACCGTACGGGAACTAGCTACCGTGACAGGGTACCGTTACCGTTGGAACACTATTCCTGATTGCTGATTTTTGAATTAATTCAACTCTAATCACCTCCTAACGGCTAATTAACATCTTCCACTATAAATATAGGCCTAATACTTCATATTTCAACAAGAAACAAAGCTCTAAACATCCTCTCTTTTTATTCTAAGTGTGTTCATCCTTCTATTAATTATTTTCAATATTTTGGCTATTTTAAGAGCCTTAAAATTCTTGATTTTTATACACACACTTTGAGCTTGTGTTTCTAGTTATATACTCTTATATTGATAAGTTTGAATTGTATTTTTGAGAGAGTATACTTTCCTTCTACGCCGGCTAAGTTTTGTTCTTCATTTTTATATTCAAGTCGTTGTGTAGAACTCTTGTTTGTGTTTTTCAAACACACCTTCTCACGGTCGAGAATAGCCGTTAAATTCTCACGTTGTAACGGTTAAGGATATCCGTATAAATCCTTTGGTAAAGGTTCAAGGATAGCCTTTGAAATCCTTGGGGAAACGGTAGAAGATAGCCGTTAAATTTTCATAGTAAACGGTTCGAGATAGCCGTGGTGAAATCTCGGAGTGAATCCTATTGGCAAGGGTTATTTGCCAAACTAGTGCGGTGCTTTGACGGAGTTCAAGAGGCCAGAACTTAGTGGATTTGGAAATCCTTAAGGATGAGCCTTAAGGTACTGGAGTAGGGAGTTCCCGAACCAGTATAAATTCGGTGTGCATTTTATTTACGCTTTTATTTTTGCGTTTTATATATTGCTTCCGCATTTGGCAACACCATTTTTATTAAACTCCGAAAAGTTTTCTAACGCCTTATTCACCCCCCCCCCTCTAAGGCGTGGACACAACGACTAAACTGACTAACAAGAGAGCGAGCTACTAAGGGGTATAACCGACATTAAAAGATGCATATCTACTACTACTTTTGAGTAGAAAATGCAAAGATGAATTGCATCTTCGGATTATAGAGGCTCGTGGATTTGGAGTTCATATAGAAGAGGCTACGACGCTGTGAACAGAGAGAAGGTAGGCATGACGGAAAATGTATTACCCGATACAAATTCGACGCCGATAGCATCGCCGAAAACAACAAGTATTGAATTAGATGGAATTGATTGTCGATTTTGATTAAGGGTCTGTTTGTAAATGATTAAAGTGTTTGCATGTCATGGAGAATGTTTGGGATGTGTATAATATCTTCATTTTGGTAATATGTTGCACTAGTTTTTACATTTTTGGTGCATGATTTGGATTTTGGGATTTCTGCATGCTTTACTGATGTGGATTGGAAGTGAGATGTTTAATTGTGGCTTAGGTTGGCACGAAAACGGAATAGAACGTCTAAAACAAGACCAGTAAATTACACATACTTCCAAGTGATCACACAACCACCAACCTCACTTAGTATTAAAAAGAAACCCCATTTAGTTTAGGCATTTTCCTAAAAGATATTTAGCACCTCAATCAACTATGTAATGTAATCCTTTTCAGGAACTCATCCTTTCCAATGCATGTTCATCAAAAGAATCTCTTCCAATAGAAGGAAAAAAATCACATACAACCCTCAGTCATATGGCACTTTGCCTATCCGTCTAGAAAATTCCATTTAGTTTCCACCTTAAACTTAACCCTAAAGTGAAAATTTCCAACAATAATTTATCATGTTATAAAATTATCAAAATTAAAATGTTCAACAAATCAAACACCAACAACAACAACCCCATGAAAGGACTCGATTATTATTGTCAATGACTCTTTTCTTCCAGAATTTTAGAGCTAATGATTTCCAAGCTAGTCAAATTTCCACTT